CTCGAACCATGCTGCGACCTTGCTTGGGTAAACGGCCTTCTTACTCTTTCGAAGAGCATAGCTCGGAGTCAGCACTTTGTCAACCCCCTCCTGGCTCCCCGAGCTGGAAAACATTGTCGGAGTTCCTGCCTCCATGATACCTGCGAAAAGAGCTCGGCATCAGCACAAAAAAAAGAAGAAGAAGAAGGAAACTAAGTAAAGAAGCCTACTCGGACTTAGACCGGCCTGAATAAGTTTAGCTTCCGAGAGGTATTCTTCGCACTTGAGCCCGACCTGGGCCCAGGACTGAAAGGTCTCTGCCATGTCTTTATCCAACATGACGCCAGGATCAGGGACAGCTGCCCACCATTGAGTAGGAAACGGCCACCCCGTAGCACTTCGGACCACAAAATAGTCTCGCTTCCACGTCGGGACCTTGTTTGAAAGTTTGTGAAGAAGTTTGAATCCCGAGCGGGGAGACAGGTAGTAAGCCCGCCTGTGCTTGGGAAGGAAGCTCGCTTGTTTTTTGAGCATAAGAAGAGCAGAAAAAATTTCTAAGTCCAAAGGAATAACATATTCACAGTAGAGGGATATGGTCCCGATGACGTTGCGAATAGAGTTTGGGTGAAGTTGACCGATTGAGACGCCGAAGTGGTTCAAGACTTTGACGATTAGGGGGTGAAGAGGAAGGCGCAGCTCGGTAATGAGCAGCTCCCGGAAGACCACGATCTCATCTGGACCGTGCTCCCAAGGGAAGTTGCCCAAAGGTATGCTATATGCATACTCCCCGGGCAGGTTGAACTGAAGAACAAGGGACCGAAGTCTCTCAGACGTCATAGTGGAGGGTCCGAACGTGTCCGACATCCGAACCCTACGAGAAGTGGACTCTAGGCTACCTGGGGTGACCCAGGCTGAAGGCCCTACCTCGGGCTCATCCAGAAGGCTGTCAAAAGAGTTAGCCCAACCCGAGGTCTCCGCCTCAGGCCCTTCTAAGAGATTATCTAAGCTACCCGAACTACTTGAACTAGACATCGCAAAAGGAAAGGAAAGGAAATTGAAAAGGCTAAGGGGACTCACCAAGGGAACGCTACCGAACTAGGGAAAGTGATGCGAGCTGAGGACCTTGGACGCGAGCTCAAGGAATGGTCGTTGAATATTGGTGAAGGAAAAGTGACTAGGGACCCCACTATTTATAGCCGTTGTACCCGCGCATCAACGGTCAAGATCAAGGCCATCCAACGGCTCTCAGGAAAACCGGTTGGACAACCCCCGAGGTGAAATCAGTTTAGCGCGAACTTTTGACATCCGATAGCTGATAAATCGTTTGACGTCCGCGCATGAGCTGTATGCGACCCGGGCTGACTTTGGTCGAGCCACGCTGACACTGGTTGGGCCAAGAATGTAGGCGGGTCAGACCGGGGAATCTCCGAGATGGACTAGGCACGCCACGGAGCAAATCCACCCATCAGTCCGTGAACTCCCCACGCCGGGTCAAGACCCCGGGCACGAGGAGTGGGGGGCAATTGATGGAGATAGATTTGGCCCGACCCCTTGGCTGTGCGACACGTGGAAGAAACCGGGGTGACCTGGCAAGAACGCCAGCTCGGCACGGCGACATAGCACGAGCTCTCCAATAAGAGGCCCGAGCTCCCAAGTTCCCCAAGAAGAGGCCCGAGCTCCCGAGCTCCCCAAAAAGAACCCACACTTCCTGGGAGGTGAAACCCGAGCTCTCCCTAAGAATCCCGAGGTTAACAGAGAAGCCCGCGAGGGGCAAAGCCCAGACTAGCCCACCTCGGGTCAGTCCAGACCATATGCCGGCACCTCGGGACAGTAGGACAACCTCTCACACCACTCCGACACCTCGGCTCCAGGTCACGCAACTGTGAAACCGTACCTGACAGGTCCGTACTCTGAGGCAGCATGCCTGACTGGTCTGGATCTGACAGATGGCAATCACGCCGTAACAGCCACCTGCTACCGCCATCTCAGTTGTGGCAGAGACGGCCCTGACAGAGAGGACAGTGGCAGTTGTGTCTGCCCCCCACAGAGGCGGTTATACCTGACTTGGCAGAAACTTGGGAGTGAGTGCACCAAGTGGTTATAAAAGACCTTTTTCCCCAGAGAAAGAGGTATGTGATATTTTGTGCTTTTTGGTCTTGAAATCTCTTATTTTCCCTTGCCTTCTCAAGAGTATTAACTTGAGCTTCGGAGTATTCCCGCCGGGTTCCTCCCCGAAAATCTCCAATTTCTTCCTTGTTTCAGGCATCTTCAACTCCGTCAGAGGCAAGGTTACCGGCAATTAAGACCGACCGGATTGTGCATCATTAGGATGGTATTACAAGGTTTTAAATTATATGATTGTATTTGATTTGATGGGGGCAAGCTCAACGATGGGTTTTGAAAATTTAGGGCTAAGATTTGGGTTTTTTTGGGTTATTTGGTGTTCCGAAGGGATCTGAAATGTCTAATCAGGTGTTTGGGGATGAGTTAGGGGTTCAGCGAAGGACCGAGCAAAAAATCGGGTGTTGATAATTGGAGCCCCCGTTTGGCATGAAAACAAAGGGGAAGCAAGAATAGGGCGGAGCCTGTTTCGGTGTCAAAATTAATAAAAAATAAAAGAAGAGGAAGAAGAAAAAATACGTACTTTTGGATTGAATGAATTTGATTTTTTTTTTAATGAAGCATCTTGTTCCACTGATTTGTCTTCACTCTTTACGTTCAAGCTTATAGTTTCCTTATTCTTTTGCTATTGCGCTCAAGCTTGTAGTTCGACTATGGAGTTAGGCCACTTCCATTCACCTTTCTTGGGAATTTAGGGTTTATATACCATCTTGGATTTATAGAATATTATCCAAAATTCCCTTCACTTTTGCCCATTTCTCTTAACATTACCCTGACTTTTTAAAACCTCCAATATGGACCCATGTACGAGGATTTTTTTTATCAACTAAAACTTACCTTCCATCAGAAAGTTGTCTAGATAGAGCGTTAATCATTTTTAATAACCAATTTAACCTTAAAGCTACATGGGTGCTTGATTTCTGAACTTGATGGGCTTATGAATGGCAACGGGGCTGGGTGGGGCGGACAAGGTTTTTCCTATCCCGTCTCTATCCTTACCAGCATGGGACAAGGTTTTTGCCGTCTCGTTTTTATGGGGATCTCCACTCCCTGTGAATTTTTATAATGTCAATCATTTTCTTTTTATTTTTTATTTTATTTGAAAATTTAAAAATAAAATAATTAAAATTTATGATCCTATTAAAAAAGATTTAATGGGGAATGCTCTCCTTGTTCCCAATCCATCTCTTCCAAGGGGATGAAAATTTCCTCATCTCGGTTCGTGTGTGGGAAAAATCATCCCCATGATTCTTGCTCCATTTGGGGTAAGTCTCTTTGAAGATTGGAAAAATGTGGAAAATTGCCATCTCCAAATGGGCTGAGGAGCTAAAGGCCAAATTTGGGAATATTTAAAAATAAAGCTATACATGGGCCGGGTAGCCAGACGGCCTGGCCTGGTCACGTTCAGCTTTGGACATATTATTAGGCCCGTGGGCCCGGGTCAGACCATATTATCTAAGCCGGACCTGATTTTGGCTCGGGTCTGGTATTTCACAAAAAACCCGATCCGAGCCCGGCCAGACAATATATAAATGTTCGTTCAAACTCATCCCTATTACCGGCAAGGCGACGATATCTCTCCGAGCTCTGTCCTAACTATCTCTCAGTAGCATGACGGCGTCCCCATTTCTTCAAGCTACGCTCCAGTAGCGGCAAGCTAGCAACCAGTCCCAATTTCTTTGAGCTCTACTCTTCTCCAAACACTCCCAAGTCCCAACATCAGGTCGACAGCATCTACAGTGCAACGGTGAACTCAGGTCTGAAGCATTGGTAATTTAGAAAATCGTCATCCCTACGGTGAACTCAGATCGATGGCATCTACTCCCCTCCCCTCTCTCTCTCTCTCTCTCTCTCTCTCCTCAGTTTGCCAACCCTGCGGTGATCTCAGATCTGAAGTGTTGGCTGTTAAGAAAATCATTGCCCATCACTCTCTATATCTCTCTCTCTCCCTTGAGCAACCTCCCCCCCAGTTCACCAACCCAGCAGACTGTAGTGAACTCATTATCTGCTGCAATGTTAATCATCGAGATATAAAGCTTCAGGACCCCTGAAATTCCCAGTTCTCATTACAAGCCTATGAGTTTACCTTACTTGTTGCTTAGCCATTTTTGTTTCAATGTTTTGGCACCAAAGTTGTAACCATTTTCCAAGATCGGCAATATAAACTGCTAAATACTTGTAAGAACAATTTTTTACAATTAAGACAAGTTGAAATATGTCTTTTTCTTTGTCATCTATGTCCTTTGTCCCTACCTCTCTTGTTGGACTTATTTTAAAGCCAATGAGAACCCCAATTCTATATTGTGAACTACGTGAGTAGAGACTTGAGGTTGCTACCTTGACGTGTTGCAAAGCCAAAAGGATAGTGTTGCTTAATTGCTTTAGTTTTGCCTCTGTCGCAAGTCCTAATAGTTGTTGGTAAGGTTTAAAATATCGATACGACCGATATGTCGGTATGGGCGTATCAGACAAATCGATACAGTTTTTGGTACTTTTTTTTTATTTTTTTTCCGCAACTGGTTCAGGGGAGCCGGTTTAGGCCGCCTTCACACCCTAAACCGGGCAGAACCCCGATACACCTACTGTAAGGGCATATTGGAGGGGTCCCGAAACGATACGTATCAGCCAACATAGGCCATTATGTATCAATATTTTGAACCTTGGTTGTTGGTGATCTCTACCAAATTCACTCTTTAAAGAATTACCAGTCACACTAGGCATAGATGATGATGATGACGATAGTTGGACTCTTTAAAAAAAAGAACAAAATGCCGTTTAATTTCCTAACTGAAAGAAGAAAAAAGAAAACCCAATAGAAAGGCTTTGAAGTTATCCTGTCTTCTAAAATAAAATATATTGTTTATTTTAATTACAAACCAAACCTATTTTAGTTTTCTAAAACAAAAATAACATTAAACCATACAACCAACTATATTCTTCTTGAACACTTATGGAACAAACCATCACAAAAGCTGGAAATTAGGATATCCAGGCATTACATAGTTCCCATTATTATCCCTTGATCAGGAGAAGGAGAGTTATAATAAGGTGAAACAACACCGTATAACCTTAGATTGTATTCTATCAATGCAACTCCTTTGGATGCAGAATTGCAAAACCTGATCAGTTTGTCTTTTATTTACTATTTACAATCTTTCAAATAGATGGGCCCAGAAAATTCCTTGATGGGCCTACTTCGTATTTTTGGAATTTGGAGGGCCCAAGCAGACCATTTTTTAATTTTAATTATTTACATAAAGATACCAACACAACACGTGGCTGCTTCCCAGGACGTCTAGCATGCTGAGCACATAGATTATCAACCAATAAGATATCTCCCTTTTGCCACTTCAAATCCACATTGTTGTCATTCACAATTTGCTTATAAGCATCCAAAGCTTCAATTGGAAAAGCACTTCCATCCCCAAAGCGGTAGTGCATTTGCTTGTCATCTGTATCCTTGGAGTAGTCAGGGAGAGGTATGAACCAAACCCTCCTTCCCTCAAACTCTTCGATCGGACTCCAAGGCCCAAATACATACTCCATGCTTCCATCTTGGTTGAATTTGGTAGAGCTGATCCGGAATCTTTCTAGAGCCCTATCAACATTATTTGAAGGGTTCCATTTAATTTGCTTAGGCTATGTGTTTGGTTTGATAGAAAATGACAGAATTAAAGAGAGAGCAAGGCTCAAGAGTTCAAAAATTAGCAGTATTTTAATGGGCACTTCCTATCTCACTTTCTAAGGTTAATGGGACACTTAGGCCCTCTTTGCCTTTCGGTAAGTTGATGCACTTATCCGCCAAACATTTATTCGGGTAAGCGCATTTATTCATGTTTTTTTATTTCTCAAGCAAAATAAGGAAATGACCATTTTAGGCATAAAAAATCATTATTAAAAGAGATATTTTTGTTCCATTCAAGTGTTAGTGACTTTCCCCCTAAGTGGAAAAGTTATTTGCCCACCTAAGAAATGGGTATCCAAGAAAACAAGTTTTTCCTGATCCCCACATAAATCTGAAAAAAGAATATTAATTTCTTGGTTAATGAGAATTAAATTCCCATTGACCAATTTTCCCTCTTCACAAAACCCAAAAAAAGAATGCCCCCTTGGGGCTAATCTCATTGTATTTTGTCATAGATTTTTAGATTTTTAAAAATATGACAAACTTTTGAGAGTCTTGAGGCACAATGGTGAGTAGGGATGTCAATTGGACTGGATTTGGTCCAATCCGATCCAGTCCAATATGAGTCCATTATAAATAGACCAGGATCAATCCAATCCAATGAATGTTTTGGACCAATTTGGACTGGTCTAATTCAATGTCTGGACCGTCCAATCTGTTCAAATTCATTTTGATTTAAATCGGTTTCAACCCAAACCTAGTCCATTGACACATGTATTCTTATCTTATATCAATAGACCAGATATTGACTTAATCCAACCAATCCAATATAAATTTGTTACAGACGGACCAAGTCCAATCCAATCCATCCAAATTGATTTTGGACTGAACGGGATCCAATCCAAAACCGGTCCATTAACACCCTTAGTGAGGAGAGAGAAACTTATGACGTGGACAAAAGTTGGGGCCTGAAGTATTTAGGCCAGGTCTAGCCCCCACAAAATTTCCAATTCCACAGAATGGACGAGGCTTGGATGCAAAAGAAGACTCGGACATGAAAATTCACAAGGCCCAAGAACTGCTTTTGAATGAGAACTTGGTGATCCAGCCATGAAATTAAAGCATGTCTTATAACCTGGATATTTTATATCATTAGTAAAATGAACTATAAATCGACTGAAAAATATAATACTTTTTAATAAAATTGTACTAATTGATTGATATATGCTACTATTTATCAACAAAATAATTTAAAGATAATTACCAATTTACCATGAGACATAGTACAAGCTTCCATTAAAAATACAAATATCATAAAGAATTTGGCAAAAGTTTTAGTAGTTGCTACCAACCTAACACAATCCTTGAGACCAAAAGTGTAAGACAAACTCACACCGGTGGAATAGACCATGATCTGATCGATTTTAAGGAGATTTGATATATTTAAGATCCAAAATCAATCCAATTCCCATCAAACTTCAGAAAGTTGACAACCAAAATTAGTTGAATACATGTCATAACTAGGGATATCAGTGGATGGGGTTAAGTGGTAATTAAACCTGCAATGACCCAACGCATTGGGTTAGAGACAGGTCGGCCTTAATTAGGTTTTGGGTTGGGTTGGGTTGGGTTCCATTTCCCAGATCTCACCTAGGGGTGGAAATTGTGCGGGTTGGATTGGGTTTGGTTTAGGTTGAGTTTCAACCCAATCCAGCTAACCCGTCAACCCATTAATGACCCAGTTATATAAAATTAAATGGGTTGGGTTCAACCTAAACTCGCTTTAACCCAATCGAACTCGCCCAAACCCATTAATCTTATATTTATGGACTTAAAAAACTAATTCTCTCTCTCCCTTAACAAATAAGTTGGTTGTAGCTTGGTGGTTATTATAGTTATTATTTATATAAGTGGTGAAGGTTCAAACCACTTTACATGCATGTTATTGTTACACAAGCCGCGAAGCCATTTGATTATATTCGGATTTCGGGTTTGACCGAACTACTTAGGTTCAAACCGGTCAGACCAACTTAAACAACTTAGGTTCAAGGGTGGTTGAATCGTTTAGATTTGGATCAATCCAGTCAGACCGGATCAGACCGGTTTAGTCAATGGTGGATTGATTTGGACCAGGCCATATCAGGTTTGTGCACAGGTTCGGGACTGGACCGGCTGACCCAAACGGGACCAATGTAGCTAAATTGGGTCTGTTTTGATTCGGGTCGGGTCGTGTGGATATTGGCTAGATGGTCGGTCCAGATTGGGCAAAGCATGCGAAGGACGAATCATCCCAACCAAAACCATTTTCGATTTGGGTCAACCCGGATCGACTTGTGCCGAGTCGGGTTGAAGTGTGTGAATATTGGTTAGACCAGACGGCCCAGATCGGATAGAGCAAGCAGCACCGAACCATCCCGCCCGATGTCTATTCAGGTTCGGGTTGACCCGGATCAGTATAGGCTGGATCGGGTCAGACCGCGTTGAACTGGTCCGGACTTGGGTCAAATTGATTTGAATTTATGTTGGGTGAAGTGTATTGGTTCAAGACAAAACTAAATTTAGTCAATTATTAATAGAAAATTAATATATTAATTATAAATTATTTAATTCAAATGAAAAAAATAAAAAAAAAGACTAAAAAATTAATACTTATGTCTATAATAGTTAACTCAATGGTTATTGACAACCCAACCCATTTAAATAAGTGGATTGGATGATGGGTTGATCATACAACCCGCTAAGTAAATGGGCGGGTTGGGTGGGTTAGATACTCGGTGGGTTGGGCGGATTCAGCGGATTGGGTTAAAAATTGCCACCCCTAATCCCACCCACTGAGCCCAAGGAACCAGTAAAGAGTGGATTGATGAAATGGGAGAATAAAAACCAAAAAAGTACCTCCTTTCAGCTTCTTCTTGGTCGTCAGTGTTCAAAAGCCACTTCCATGACCTGCTGATAATGTCTCCAGGCTGATCCTCTTTTGGTAGCTTTGCCGGAAAAGTGACACCTAATTTTGACACCTTGCCGACGAACTCCGGCACCTTTTCTTCCATCTTTTCTACTATAACGTGGCTAGGGATGATAGATGTCTCGCCCCCCTCCGGCGACGGTTGAGAACAGAAGAAAAAGATTTTGGAAGGGAAATTTTTTACCTATGCACTCAAATTTGTAAGCTGTGTTTGATTTGAAATGAAGAAAGATAGATAGTATAGGAGAAATGGATAGATAGTATTATTAATTACCAGTGGCATCTCATGATGGAAGGAGATAAATTTATCAAGGGGTGCTTCGTTAGCACTGTATACTCCATGAGTCACCTTGAGACGTGTAATCGGACCTCAGTAATCCATCCCCTCCCAATCGAATGCTTCGACTATGCGCGCAAAATCATCGGGAGAGCAAACCCCAAATCCCCTGAAGAGAATAGCTGAGTGGTGGTGCAGTAGTTCAGACAACCACTCTCTATTTCCTCTCACCATCTCTACCAAAAGATCACTTGTCCCTTGCTTTCCTTTTGGTGGGGTTAATGTCTTTGGAAACACCACATCTCCAAACACCTTCTCCCCTGCTATCTTTCCTTCTGCAAAATCAAGCTCCATCTCTCTCTCTCTCTCCTTTGGAATGACAAACCCTGCGTAGATATTTCCAACAAGATAACAAAACTTGTGTTAAAGGACTAATTAGCCCCTCACGGGGGTTCTTCGAAGTTCAGTGAGGCTTTTGTGCCACCAAACATTGAAAAGTGATTTTCGTAGTGAGAGGTCAAAGTGTTTGATAACGTGCCTATCACTTCAAAGTAGTGGTTATTATGAATTTATGATGCTTCATAGTATTTACTAGCGGGACCGGTGTGATGCATGGGTTAAACAATTGTTTTATATTTTAAATTCTTAAATAATTAATAATTAGTTATGTTTTATATATTATTCTTAATAATTTTTTATAATGTAAAAATAACAATACTTAATTTTAGTTAGGATTTATCAAACTAGTGAAATCGATCAAACTGACCAACACGATTCAAGTTGGTCAAGTACACAACCGAATGTGCTAAAGGCTGATTCAGGAGTAATTTTGGATACCAGATGATGTAGGCACTTTAGGCAGGCAACTGGCACGTCGAGTAGAGAATGTTTGCAAAAGGTTTGCAAAAGGTTTTAATTCCCGGGATCCATCCGAGTAGAGAATGTAACACTGTATCTTGTAGGTTGCAGCCAGGGGAATGGGAGTGGTCCTTTCGTGTCGAACAGTGTTATGATCATCATGGGCTAAGAGGATAAGTGTAATAGACTATTACAGGGATGATTACCTTATGGGCTTTATCTTACTTAAGTCCATTATCATTAGGTCAAAACCTGGGTATGTTGGGGCGGTTTAAGAATTCTCCAAAGTGGGTGCTCATATTGATAGAATCGGCCCATTTGTCAGACAAAGTAAATGATAAGGTTTACACTCTCTCTTATCGAAACCTGAACTATCAGTAGTAAATTTTAATAGTGTTTTAAAAACTGATTTTGCAATATATATATATATATATAATGTGTTATGGAAATGTTTAAAAAGGTTTTAATTCTCGAGATCCATCCGAGTAGAGAATGTAACACTGTACCTTGCAGCCAGGGGAATGGGAGTGGTCCTTCCGTGTCGGACAGTGTTGTGATCATTATGGGCTGAGAGTTTAAGTGTAAGAGACCATTACATGGATGATTACCATATGGGCTTTATCTTAATTAAGTCCATTATTATTGGGTCTTCATAGGATGGCTGAATTCAATGATCATTTAAGTGTAAATGTTTGGCCAATATTGAAGAGATTTGCTTAGAGGTTCATTACATTTAATAGTAAATTCGGCTAAGTCGTTTCATAGAGACTAAGTCGAACCCATATGGACTTATGTGAGGTCATTGTGGGGTCCAATGCCATACAAATCAGGCCTAAGTTGACCATGCAACATCTTGGATCATAAAACTTTAAAGGAAATGGCCCATAATTAATAAGATTAAGTAAATTGTCATATGACAACTTAGGTTGTCATGTGCTTTGGGTCAAATCTAGGTTTGGAAATGGGTATGGAACACCCATCCTCTTAAGAGGATAAGGCTTATATCTTAATAAAATCCAGATCCAAATTAGATTTGGATAATCTCCTAATTTGATTAGGAGAGTGCTCCATAAGGAAATCAAAGAAGAAGAGGGCGAACCGGACTAGTAGACCACTCTCTCTTGTTCTTTCTTCTTCTCTTTCGTCTTCCAAGAAACCCTATCACAACCTAGGCTTTCAAGGATTGGTAGAGATCATTTTTCTTCTGATTTTTGCAAGAAAAAAAATCAGAAGAATTTCAGGCTCACCTTACCCAATTCAATCCAAGCAGTTGGGTTGTAGTTTTGCTAAAAACTATATTGTTGAATCCGTTTCACCTATACACTACACCATCTTTAATGGAGGTTGGTTTTAGGACTAATTTGGGCATGAACTTCTTCCTTAGGATCTACGTTTGTGGTATTCATATCAGGTATAAATCAACCTCTTTGTTTGGTTTTAAATCTGGTCCGATTCAGTGCAAGATTGATCTGAAAAATGTAATTTTTCAAAACATAAGGAATTTAATTCTCAAAAGGATTAAGAAATTTTTGAAAATTTGTCCAGCCATCCATATGATGGACCCTAACCCTTCTAACATTAAATGCATTTGCTCCGGAGAAATTAGGAAGTTCCTTGTTCACATGATGAATTGAGATCGGAGTTTAAATGCACCTAACCCAATAGAAAAGTAGCATGAAGGGATTGCATCTAGATAGGATTTTATGGTTGAATGGTGGTAGGCTAGATAAAGGGTGGAAAAGGGGGTCCATTGTGTAAAAGCAATGGGAGCTTTGAAGATGACGGTGTTGATAACTTAACATCTATTGATGCGGTTTCTTTTGGAGCTCCCTCCACCCCAGCTTTTACAATTTTGGCCATCTACAAGATATGAGGAGTTAACTATAAGATGTATTAGAATGCATAGGCAATGACCTTACATAAAGCAGCAGAAGGAAGCCTAGCCTGATCTTTATGGTGTTCATTTTTGCCTTTCAGCAACTTAAATTGTTCTTTCTCCAGTTAAACCAAGTTGTACAGGACATCGCAATTTTGCTCATTTCCTATCATTTACCTTTTGTCGATGCTAAAACCACACAACAAAATATTCCAAAGGATTGATAGATAAGACTCATGGTGCATTTGATTAAATGCACTTCATAGTGTGGTTTTAGTTGATACAATGATTGTCATCAAGTAGCTATTTTTGTTAGTGATTCTAGGTTGGTTTTGTCTTTCAATATAAGAGTTTTATGAAGTTTGACTTCCAAAAATTGATGAACTAGTTGAACCACTTGATGCAATGATTGCTCAAAGTTGCAAATTAGTCCTGATTATCTCTTCTATTTTTCAAAATTGTAGTTTTCTGCAATAGAATTATAGTTGAGCTTGGCTCCTTCCACTTTATGGAGCATTTAAACAAAGATTAAGCAATAGTTATTAAAATATCTTAGAGTTATCATCAGTTATTAGATGAATCAACCTACCTATATCAATCACTTATTTGTCACTTATGATGGTTTCTAGAAGAAATCATTTAGGGTGTCTCAATTAGGTGGTAGTAACCTTTGATGATACTAACGACTGATCTTCTATAGGTTGTTAGTTTTGAAAATAAGTTTTCTTTGTACATAATTAGTAACTGTAACTATTATTAATAAGTCCAAAAATGTCAATGGGTTTTAGTAAACAGTAGTGACGTTAACCTAGGAAAAGAATTCAAGGACAATATGGATTAGGAAAAGAGGGTAGATTAGAGTTCTAAAAACTTGGTGTAGATAATAGAAATATTTCTGCTTTGCTCCTATTTCTGATTATTTTCTAAGCCCATAAAACAAAGAGTTAGATTTTGATAAATAAACACCAAGTTCTACAAAAAAAGAACTATGTACCCGCTTCATATTCTCATAGGCCCATCTTAGATTAACAAGTACTTTTCTTGTCAACTCCTAGCACATAGCATGAGGCATGAGGAGCATAAGGAGATGATCAACATTCATTCCAAAATCCAATTACACTAGATCCCAATAATGGAATTTCATAAAGAACAAATAATAGAGTGGAATAAACAAATTATTCACAGTCTGCCCCATAAAATAATATTTCAATTTCTTCAAGAACCTAGGCTTACAAATGTTCCTCCTTGATCTCCTTACAACAATACCAAATGCTCCTTTTTGTTACTTTGGATTTCTTCATTAAATTCAATAAATGTATAATATGAACTCCTATAGCAATAAAAAATTAACAAATAGAGATGGAGAGCAAAATGGAGGGGGAAGAGAGAGAGAGAGAACAAAGGGGGTAGGGTGAGAGAGGAATAGAGAGAGTAATGAAGAGGAATATCATAGTGAAATCATACACTCATGGACAGTTTGGCAAACCCTTTACAAGAAGATATATTAAATGAATCAACCACTTGGAGTGAGGTCAAAGAGTGAACAATTATAAAGTTGATGGTTGTGCAGGTGAAGGCTCATAACAGACCAACATCAACATTTAATATTGAAGGATAGAAGAACATTGTGTAGAAATTTAATAAGAAGCACAACAAATCATACACATGAATTTAATAACAAGTTCCATGTTTTCAAGAAAAAAATTAATGATTATCAGAAAATTGTGAATCACATAGGGCTCACATAGATCTAGTTATAAAAAAAAAAAACTTAGTTCCAGTGAAAGTGTGTAGAACTATCTTATTCCAATAAGAATTTTATATAATTATTGAGATGATTATTAGGTGTTTTAATTATTAGGATAGTAACTTCAAGTACACTTTATGCAGAAATATTAGTGTGCAAAGAAATGAAGAAGGATTGTCCATATCTAAAGGAGTTGGAGATCATAGATTCGAGAACTAGTGCTATTGGTTTCACATCAAAGGGTAATGTTGAGATCCTTTCAGACAATGAGATTAGCCACATCCCTATGACACATGACCATATTGCCAACAACTCTCCTAATAACATATTCACTTTATATACATCTACTCCTAAAACCCTTAGAATTGGCATTGATACAAAAGTTAATCCACAAATAGATAGATTTACAAGAAGGGATTCCCTCCCATCGTCCCTCAAGAAAGTTAAAAGGGCTAAGAAAGTTATAAATATACAAGGACAAGATAAAGATAATTGAATTTGAGACGGAGAGTAAGGTGAAGAAAGAGTAAAGGAGAAACAACAAATGTAGGTCTCGATGGATGAGATTCATGGAAGTAGTGAATGAGTTTTTATGATGGGAGTTATTAGCATTGGTCAAGTTCTGAAGGCAACTGAAATTTTTTAAAAGAATTATTAGAGGAAAACATTTATGGCATTTACCATTGAATATTAGAATAAGTGGCTGAGAGGCCTTTATACATTGATTCACATTGTCTCTTTTTTACTCGTGTTTAGGCATATAATTAAATTGACTTATATTGCACGGATTGCCATATTTTGTTGTCCTTTTTGTTTGTTTAAAGCTTATAAGAACACCCTTATGGTTTAGATTTGTATTATTTTGTTATTGGGACTAAATGAGACCTTGTTATAATAAAATTTTATGAATGATGCTTTGTTTTAATTTCACATTCACCATTATTTAGAGTGTTTTGGAATGTCATTATTATGTTTTTCAG